GGTTAGTGGCGATGAATCTGCCCTATCTTGACTATGCCCAACTTCATGAAAAGAATTGGCGTCTGATAATCTCCGATACCGTGCAACCCATCCCTTCTTGACGGTCGAGAGTATGTGAAAAGCTCCCACAAATTATGGTTGATGAAACCTCTGATCAACTCTACCGTAGCGATGGCGTTCTTGGTCTCTGACCACTTTGATCGGCCTCGCCAGCCATAGAACAGAGACAGCTGTTCTTCGGCGCATCTGTTTGGACTAACCCCAAATTCATGAAAGAAATTGGCGACTGATATTATCCGATACCCTGCAACCCCTCCCTTCTTGACGGTCGAATGTTTGCCGCCAGCAGTTTTTTTTTCTCCTGAACACTCCAAGCCATGAAAACCACCATCAACTATATTCTTATTACTTTTCCACTGGAGTTTTTTTTCAGTGCTGGCCGGATTTGTGTTTAACGCTTCCCTGACAATGCCTGTAAACTGGCATTAAATAAAAATTTGTATTAATTATTATTATCGGCGGTCCGAGATCGCGAGGGGAACGACGACGGCTGTGTGAGACTGGAAGTAAGGCGTGCGAGCTGTAGTTTAAGGGAGGCTATCTCATCCGCCATAGCCGACACCTGCTTCATTAACTGCTCATTCACTGTCGATGAGGGTGTGGGGATTTGGGCGACGGAAGGCGACTGGGACCGCTGCATCTCTATCACTCGATTCGCCATTTCAGCCAGCTGTGAGACCGTGAGATCTTGAGAACCGGATGGCAGAATCGTTTTAACATCTGCAGGCAGACACCCTAGAAACATCTCCTTGACAAATTTATCTTCAACCTGCATGTTACCGAGGAGAGAACGCATTCGACGTAGAAGTTCTAAAGGCTTCCGTTCACCTACTGACTCCTCCTTAATTAATTGGTGATACCGCTGTCGGTCGGACACAGAATTAAGTCGATGAATTTCTGCCTTTAACATGGAGTAGGGAGCATCTGCAGCAGGATTAGATAGTGAGGACTGAACATGGGAGATAACCCTAGCGAGGAGAACCTCTACACTTTTTGGTATTTCGCCAGCTCTTTGGTAACGTTGGCAAAATAAGAGGCTGAGTCAATGCGGATGAAATAAAGCTTCGGTGCGTGTTTACAGAATACGAGGAAGGTAAAATTAACGGCACGAAAGGACTGGGCGTAAACATCAGGTTTTTGGTTGATAACCAAGACAGAGATGGTAAAATATTGAGAAAATTCGTGAGGAAAGTAGATGTAAATGGAATAGAAATTCACAAACAAATAGAACGTTAAATTTTTTTTCAATATGACATAGAAGGGTATAAAGTCTGCGTTAACTTCGGGAGTTACCCATGACGTAAATCGTAATGTTCTCACGAACTAACGAGTTATATCTCGTGAAACCCGTTTCAAATACATTTAACCTGAGCTCCACAGTGGCTCTAAAACATTTTTAACTACATCTGCCATCGAAAAATGCCCACAGATCTCGGTTGATTTTCCCACGGCGTGTCAATTCTTATTGTTTGATTTTCCGCTCGAGTTATGCTTCTTAATTTACAAGGAATGAAATTAAAGACACTATATTCTGTAGAGTAGAAGTGGTAGGCATTCCAAGACGATATAGTGAAAAAGGAAAAGGTTCTTCGGAAAAAAATCGAGTTGTAATCGTGAATTTTCGAATTGGTGACACCAAACCGTCGTCAGGCGAAATGAAGAGAAAAGAGAGAGTGAGACAGTCACACTAGACTAGCAGACGCGACAGGACAAATAGTCACGGGCGGACCATTAGCGTGTGAGGAGGGATGCGGGCAGGGAGTCATGCTGGGTTCTGAGCCGGGAGGGCAGGACGGTGGAGGGGAGGGAAGAGTTACGGCTCCCCGTGTTGGGGGGGAGGGAGAATGGTAGGCTGGCAGAACCGTGGCGTCTGGATTTGCGGCTGCTGATGCGGCGTGGGGCTAGGCTTAGTGAGGCGTGATCTTGGGCCGTCATAATGGGCGTCTAGGTCAACGTGGCGGTTGATGCTGTCCGCGTTAGAGTGCCATGCCTCTAGGAATTCTCTCGCCCGTTTTTGTTGGCCGTGGCGATGACCTCGGTGTTATCCCAATTAAAACGGTGGTCGCACTGGAGTGCCTGTGCAAAGACGAGGGACAGTCGATCACAGCGACAGACAGATAGTTTGTGTTCATTAATACGAGCTTCCAAGCGTCGTCCTGCATGACCAACACATACGCAGGGGCAATTGGCACACGGGATGCGATAGATGACGTTAGTCTGTTCCTCTTTGGAGATAGAATCCTTTACTCAAGTTAAGACTGTGCGCAGCGAGGATGCAGGCTTGTGGAAAACGCGGATATCGAACTGATTTAACTGACGGGCGATCATTTCTGAGGTCCCCTGGATATTGGGCAGGGAGAAGAATTTCTGGGTCACAGTTTCACTATCTGAGGAGGTGCCTCGATGTTGTGCCTGACGCCTGAGGCAGTTCTTCACAAAACTGACCGGGTACCCGTTAGATCGAAATAGCCGATATAGATAACCTAGTACTTTCTTCAGCAGACCGTCATTGCTGCAATAAGGGTAGGCCCGGTGGAAGAGAGTTCGGACGCAGCTTCTTTTGTGAGCCACAGGGTGATTGCTTCCATAATTGAGGATGATCTTAGAATCAGACGCTTTTCTATGAACGCTGGTTGCGAGAGTAGCGTCGTCTAGCCTTTGTATTTTTACGTCCAGAAACGACAGTCTGTCTCCTACTGCCTCTTCGCGGGTAAATTGTATGGCCGGACAGACATCATTCAGCCTCTGATGTAGCCTTTCGAATTCGTCGTTCTTTATTACGACAAAGGTGTCTTCGACATAGCGCAGTCACATTTTGGGGTCAAGAGTTTGAAAAACCTCATACTATAGTCGCTGTAGCACTAGTACGGCGAGTAGACCGGATATTGGGGAGCCCATTTGACTTCCCTTCACCTGTTGGTAGTATTTATTGTCGAACCTACGATAGTTCTGAAGGCAGAGTTTGAGCAGTTCTATAACGTGCTGGGCTGGAATACCAACAGGATTGTCCTGTAGCCGTTGGGCTGCTCAGTCAATTGACAAATCGTGTGGTATAGAAGAAAATAAGACAACGACGTCAAAAGACAAGAAACATTCATCAGTGCTTACATTAAGGCCGTCGATCCGGTTGAGGAATTCGTGGGAGATGTTAATTCTGTAGCGAGATCCGATTTGGCAATCGACGTTTGAAGTTTAATTTCCAAAATTATCTTTAAAGGCATTGACTTTTCCTCTTGAGAGCTTGAGTTCTCTCTACAATTCAATCGGAGAAGTTTCATTATCTTGTTAGTTTTATCTTCTTATATTACTTCACTCACATACTCTTGCAGCATCCTCATGTCACCTTTTATTCTACATTTCCGTTTATCGTTGGCTGATTCACGAAGTCGATGAACGAGTAAAAATTGTAATTTGTGACAAATGTGATGAGCTCACCCGATCAGTGAAAGTGAGTGGCTGACGTTTCGAAGGACTTGGCTGGTTCTCCAGTATCAAAGCGTTTCGTACAAAAAGTCGTTCAGAATTTTAAATAAACGACTCAATTATTTGGCCTAGGACCGATCCATTTTCTTCTCCGTCTCTATCTGCCTTGGCCTTCCAACTGTTGTCTGTGAATGTCGGCGGCCTCCCGAGTTGTCTGTGGCTACCTTAGTGTGGGTGGTTGCACCTGTGCTCCCCTTTTGGGTTAATTAGTTTACGGGCGGTATTTGCTTGGTATTTGTAAGCTCCGTGTGACCGACTTGTTGTGGTCCTGGTGTACGTAGTGACGTAGGACATTATATGCTGCAGGAAGGTCTAAATGCTTGTTGATGAATTTGGCCTTTGTGGCGTACCAGACGGAGCCTTGTATGTACGATGCCGATGCGATGATCCATCCGGCCAGCAGAGTCTATATTACCATGCGCGCTGATGCACACACGGATACCCTCATCCGGTTTGCATGCTGGTCAAGACGGTTACCCGCGGTGTGGTCGCTAGGCAGAGCCTACCCCCAGGGAGCCGCAGGTGAGAGTTGGGCGCCAGCAAATGGATACTAGGCGTAGTGTGCATGCTATAGTATTAACTGAGACGGAGCTCATCCCAGACGTCAGAGACTCCGAAATAAAACTAGACGGGTATAAATTTCTAAATGGAGATAGAAACAAATGCAGGGGCTTCTGAGTTGATCTGCAATCCAACAATACAGTTCAATTTCATCAAGAATCTCCTAGGCAGGACAATTTTGGGAATTAAATCGACGTTTGGAGTTCGCAATTTGGAGACAAGTATCTTCCTATAAAGCTAACCCCATAATAATAACCATAGCCCTCTTACCCTACTGCCAACAATTTGGCCCTAGCCCTAATGCCCGAGCACTAACATTAACCCCTCAACTCTAACCCCTTAAACGTAAATCAACGCCCTCATCCTGACCCTAATCCTAACACTTATCCTAAAACTAACTCAATTTCCAATCTCCACATAAAGCGAACTACTTATCCACCACCCTCACTCCATCAATTGCCTTTTTCTGTCTATCTAACCTTTGCCATCTCCTTACACGCTTGTATTTTAAAATTAAACTTATCCCTTTCACCTGCACTTCAACCACTTCTCCCACCACCTGAACAGCCCATTTTCATCGCAAGTGCGCAAGCAGTGCGACGCGTCTGAACACACTACATGCATATGACTGTGGCATCTGGTCTGTGCGTGATCTACAATCCAATGTGCTCAACCGCCTGACCTGCTGCACCTGAGTACTGAACCCCAGAATACTGACAGCGTGGCAATCTACCTGTACTCCCACCTCGTGCAGTGTGTGCACGCTGTCAGCCTAGAGGTAGCAAAGTGGAGGCTTGTGAGCAGACCACAGGAGGCCATCATCGGGCCATCCCAGTTAACGGCATGTGGTCACGTACAGGATGGTGTCTACTGGCTGGTAATACTGAGTTCATCAGATGCCTCTCAGCAGCAGTCTGCAGACTATTGAGAAGCCTGACGCCATCGCGCTATCGAAAAACAGTCTTTTCGCCTCATGCACATTGTACATGCTGCCTATTCTCTACGGTGATTTAGAGCAAATGCCTCTTTTTGCCAGTCGCGCTTGGAGCTAGACAAAGTTCGTGTCTTTGTTCACTTTGAAGGAGACGTCGTCAACTTGTTCTAGTACTAAGACAGAGACTCAGCGAGGTGGGCAGACATGTCTCTCAGTGGTCTGCAGACCTCTGCTCAGAGACGTCTGATGAACTCTAGTATTACCAGCCAGTAGGCAGACACTATCGTGGGCGTGACCACATGCCGTTAACTGGGATTGCCCGACGATGGCCCCCCTGTGTTGTGCTCGCAAGCCTCCACTCTGCTAGCCCTGGGCTGACAGCGTGCACCCACTGCACCCGGTGGGAGTACAGGCAGATTGCCATGCTGTCAGTATTCTAAGTTCAGTACCTAGGTGTAGCAGGTCAGGAGGTTGAGCACAGTGCATCAAAGACCACGCACAGACCAGATGCCACAGTCATATGCATTATGTGCGTTCAGACGCCTAGCACCGATTGCGTACTTTCGATGGGAAAGGTGCTTGAGGTGCATGTGGCAAGGCTAACGTTCCAGGTTCAAATTCAAGCCTGTGGTAAAATATGCTTTTAGGTTTATAAAGCCTGTTCGGTGTGGGATTAGGTTTTGGCCGATGATCAGGCTAACTAATTGCGTTATTTTTGGGGTTGAGGCTAAGTGCAATGTTCGGTCTACCGTTAGCATTATGGCTGGTTATGAAATTAGTATTATGTCATCTGTTAGATTTTGATTTTATTTCCACCTACGTTTAAGTTAAGATGATGAGGCACAATGGCTTTTGGTTTTTAGTCAAAAATGTGTTTAGCGTTAAGTTTGCAGTTATGGTTAGGTGTACCTACGAAGTACTATCTTAAGCTATGCATTTCATTACTGGGTTCAGACTAGGTTTATGTATAGTGTGATGATTAGTTTTAGCGTTTTGGGGTATTTTTAGTGCTGTTTTAGATTTCGTGTAACATCGCCTTTTTCATACCTTGAAACCTGACCCTTTAACTTCAAACAAACTCACAGCTCGCGACCTATTAAATAAGAAAACTCTGAAAGTGCGGCCAGAGTGCAGCTGAAATGGATGTGTTTGTTTTACATCTATTCGTTCTAAGGTGAATGACGGCCCCTGAAAATGCTATGGTATACCTATTCCATTACACAGTAGAACAGAAATTGTTGGAATGGAACTAAGCATTTCCACGTTATTAGGGCAACTTACAACTCTAGGGTTATAAAAACCTATTCCATTCTTCTCTAATATGCCCGTATGCTTGAATGTGGTCAACGAACAGCTACCCGTAATAAAGAAGTAAAAAACTAATGAAGGCAGTCTGGCTCGATAGAAGAGATGACAAAGCTTCTTCCCCATCTTCCATGCAAAAGTCTGAAATCGTTCTATTAGCCACGAACGCCAGGTTTGATAGGCATATTCCAAGTGAAATCAAACAAATGCCTCTTGGGGTTTTCGGAACAGTGCTAAGTCAGTTTTAACAAGTGTTTATCTCAGCGCAAACAGCATTCGTTTCGCGTTTCTTGCTGGCCTTAGAGACTGCAAAAACAGCTTACGTGAGCAGATCGTCAGAACGTTGAGGTCATTTTGTTCTTCAGCAGTCGCAGGTGATGCACTTCATGGAGATATTGGTGAAAAGCATCTTCACCACTGGTTCTTCTGGTATGGAGTCCAGCGTTATCATTTAGAAATCAGCGTACTGTCCAATTGATAAGTCGATTAGGATCACCTTGAATTTTGCACCTAACTTCGTCATATCCGATGACTGTAGTAATTTGAACGTCGTCAGCAAAGAGAACGGCGTAACAGTCCAAGTTTTTAGCATAGTCACTTATATAGACTAAAGTGAGTAACGGCCCAAGCACTAAGTACATACAGGACACTGCTTAAAACGGAATTGGTAGATAACTTCAAGGCATCAATGAATGCGATTTGCGATCACCCGGTAAGAAACCCTGAAATCTAATATAGAAAGTATGTTGTTTGGACGTGTGCGTAGAACGCAGTCGAACGACTTCCTGAAATCAGCGTTCACGTCGTCAACCCTATCATCCCCGTCCAGTATACGAGTCAACTGCGCAGTCGGAAGCAACAAGCTGGAAAGGCACGAACGATTGTGTCTGAGGCCGTGCTGCAGCTCTGAGAGAAAGTAACATTCCTCAAGGAACATTACCGTTGTCACCTTAAACATCAGCTTCACTATTTTACAATAGATGCCGACCAGACTGCTGCTGCTGCTGCTGATGATGATGATGATGATGATGACGACGACGACGACGACGACGATGATGATGATGATGATGATGATGATGATGATGATGATGATGATGATGATGATGATGATGATGATGATGATGATGATGATGATGATGATGATGATGATGATTAATATTATTATTATAAGGATGATAATTCACACTGGTTCAAGCCTGACTTTTGCATATCAAGTACAGGTTTGATCTCGTTTATTCGTATGGCGGTCTACCTTATTCGAATAACAAATAGTAGGCATGCGGCATTGGTTTGGAGGTTTCGCGTCCACTTCTCTCGAGAACGTAACCAGTATATCGTCGGGATTCGCTGGCTTAGCTTTTTTAAGATTTTGCGGTTCGTCTTCCTCAAGAGCCGCTGAGAACTGCATAGCTTAAATAAATATGTCGACATTTCTAATGGGACTGTTGAAATTGTAAGTGCGAAATGCATTTTCATCAGTGAATACAGAGGCAAAAACTGGCATTAGTAGTAAGTAGGATTTATGCATGAGGCATGACTTGAGTTAGGTACAAACACCCCCAGGTTAATGGCCATATCATGATTGTGCCTGAACATTCGTCGGTGGTTTTACTAATATCAGCATCTAGTCTGGATTTCCTGCCTTAGAATATGTTAAACATAAACCCAGGAATACAATTTAGTATTTTCCCTGGCAGTAACCACCCTCGAGTGTTTCCAGTATTTACTTCACATTCGATAACACCAATGTCCTCAATAACATGCTCACAGTTTCATACACATGCTACGAGAAATGCATAGGCAGAGAATGAGCAGAATTTGGCAATTTCAAACACAAGCAATAAATATTGAGCAAGAACAGAGACTAAGTGAAGCTTCTATGATTCTAGGCTGCTGTCGAACTTCCCTTTGATCTGAATGTTGCCTCATTCTCTGAAGAGTTCGGCTTTGCATCCGCTATTCTCATGCCATTAATAGAGGTTATTCTTGGATGTGTCAACAATCCGCCAATCTCTACAGTCAATGGTAATGCACAACTTTACGAAATTGTTAAGTTACTTTCGGAATATTCCTCCGACATTCAAATCACTGCTGAAATAGACTGGCTTTCGAATATTTCTTCGCCCACATTTTAGCTGTCCTAAGTCTCTGCCAGCTTATCTAATTGATCTCAGTTTGTACGCTCTATAACAAGAAATAGTCACATTCTAGATCTGATTTTTTATCAAAGACGTTGCTCCCACTTCTTTATAATCAAAACGGACCATGCATTATTTCATTGTTGCCTGAGACCTGCCTTTAAAAAAGACCTGCACAGCCCGATTCCATGAACGACGACTTAATAAATAAGGAGCTACGGTCATTGGATTGGCCTTATGCCCCTCCTGTAATGACGTAACAGTTCTTTATGATGTCATGTCGAATTTTTCCTAAGGAATCTTAGAATTTATGCCTCGTAGATAATCCAAGTCTAGCTGACAGGATCCTCTTGTTTTAACCTTCTTCATAACAGCTAGCAGTTCAGAGGGCAAATGTGTGACTTCTAAGCTAGATCTTTATCCATTCATCTTATAATTAAAATGCCTTTCAAAAGAACCTCACAGATGCGTAAAGTGCTTGACAGGCAGACAGAGTCACTTGCTCCTAATGATCCGAATGCTGCTAAATTAGTCGCAAAATATTACATTATAGCCTCTCCTATAAACACGGTCACGGAATTCCCCTTTGTTTAACGAGGAAATATCTTCCTCATTGAGGACATTGGCAAGGCGAAATTAGTTCGCTCGTTCCTTGATAAACTCTTATAATTGAGTCCGAACCGATTCTTGTCACTTCATGTTTAGTTAGTAGACAGGTAAGTCATTATAATAACTCAAACTCCTCAGAAAAGGACGGCTTTCCGAATTTGAGTATCCATTAAATGAACTCGATTATCATGTTCGTTTCATGTCTGCTTTTACACCGGGTGTTAATTATTAACAGGGCATGCATAAAAATCAGTCTCCAATCGGTGAGCGTCCTATACCATTGTATATTCCCGATCGAAAACCGGCAAGACAACGGGCTCGTGGCCCAGTGGTTAGAGGCGTGGACTTCTAACTGACAGGTCGCGAGTTCGAGCCTCGGGTGTTCCACACTTCGGGAGTGAGAATGTCTGGCTGACGACGGCTGATTAGCCAGAAATGGTCACTTCAGTCTCACTTGTTTTTGACGATAATTCCATTCTGCCAAGTCTATGCTCTTAGCAATGAACAGCAGTCAAGAATAATTTTTTACCCCGGCCCAGTTAAAGCCTTCGACAAAGTGCCACGTAGACGAATTTTGTCAAAATTGGAAGCCCTCGGTGATTTCGACCATTGACAATTATAGCAAGCAACAACAGAGACTACACGAAACAACTCTCAAGACCCTTATACTGCTTCTACTCTTAGGGTATGCTGAGACTTCTCACTGTGCAGAACGCATTTTACGGCATGTTTCGCAGATGTAATCTTAGGCGGATATTCATCCTTCAATCGGAATTTCCAGACTTATTTCACCATAACCTCAAATTCGTTTCCCCACCCTTAGACTTTGACTAAATTATGAGTTTTATTTTGTTTCTGAGCCGTTAGCAAAATGTACATAGAAAAATCTGAGAAACGCGATGTTGCATTGGATCCTTTGTGGGCGGGTGAGGACATGCGGCAATTTTTATAACATTTGTGGACCTTTAGCTGTCTCCTCTGTAGGACAATTGATAAAATGGTGGCCGGAAGGAGAGCACTTCGTTTAACTTCGCAATGTTCACGACTAAGAATGTGGAGGTGAACGGAAAGCATGTGATTTAATAGACCGGATTTTCACGTTCATATGGATGCCTTAATTAGGGTTAATAATGTGCAAAGTGATAAATGAGGACCGACATTCTTAAGCCGCGTAGAAAGTCTTGCTAAATACAGACATCTTGAATGGTAAACACTCGCTCACTTTTGGCCGTTATTTTTCTTAATCTTCTTTATCTCCCTCTACCAAGGATTGTTAAAGTAGATTTCTATTGGATAGTTAGAAATTCGGCTGTACTTGTTCAGTGGTGCTGACTTCTACAAGATAATAGTATTCCATTGGTTGTGCGACCGATGCGAAAGTATAAATACGTGAAACCTGTTCGTACTTAACATTCGTGAACCGACTTCAACCATGCTACTATCTTCGTGCAAAAGCTTCAGCTTGTGTTTCATCTTCGCGCAGTTCGCATTGATGGTCGAGAGGTAAGGCGTGTGTGTGGTTTTAAAAATAACATACAACTAGGCTTTTCACTGCAGCCTTGCTACAGTCAAACTAAAATAGGTAAAGCATCATCTGATCATCATTTTCTAATTTTTAATGGTGCTGTCCTTTTAGTCCAATCACAGATGTACTTCGTTATGAGTTCAGACATATGGCATTCACTGTTGTTTGGGCAGGCAGAAAGCCATGATCAGAGATTAGAGAGCAAATCGATAGCTTTTTTTCAGCGTAGTCGGAAGTTTGTATGTCTAGAAAGACAGATTGTGATGTCATCCGCTGTCTTTTGCCGCTCAAAATGCATTTAACCTACGCACACTACTCATGAACATCACTAATGCATCTTGCGTCGTGTCGTTGCTTAAATTAGCAGAAAATATTTTTGACAAGATGCTTTTTTAGCTTTTTCCTTTCAATTCTATCTTTCAAAAAAGATTACCAATTTATCCAACTTTGCCACTACTGTAATGCAGAATAATAGGCTGTATTCAAAGAGTGAATTATCTTCAAAGACAAAAAGGGCATGTGTTAGTTTGTGCAAGTCCGCAAACGCCGTTCGAGCCGGCGTCAGAGGGAAACCTCGTATTGCACAAAACGATGTAAGAGACGATGGATGCATCAAACAGTCATTCAAAAAGATATCTTCTGAAATATTTGCTCATGTTAGTTTCAATCTGTACACTTTCCTTTTCAGCTTCGATCCAATTTGTAATTGGAATGTGCGACTTCTACACAGCAACATGACTGGAAAGCACAAACTACCGATCGTTATCAAGTACAGCTATTGGGTAAGAATGTTCTCTTCTGTTCTTCAAAATTTCTGCAAGTTTTTAAAATATGTTGAAAAGGTTTCTGCTCGTGACAACTGATAGCAGTACATCAGCTTTTGCGGCAAAACAGTTTAACTGTCTCCCTTTTTATGACAGCCTTAATTTATAAATGGATCGTTATGTGAATGTACAATCTTGTTAGCATTGGTGCAATGCTAGAAGAAAATTAATGCGCCGAATATAACCTACCTCGAATGACACAAAAATAGAAGTGCCCATGATCCTCCAAAATAAGACGTTGCATGCGGTGCTTTGACTTATTCTATCGGACACTCGTAATGCAACATCACTCGGTCTTGCCACACATAGACTAAAACGACAAGGCCTTGTACGACTGCATTGTTCACCTTTTGGGTTTGTTGATTCAGTCATCCGAAGAATGGAATCCTGATGGGCTTCAACGTATCATTTGTCTTTATAGTAAGAGTGCTGTACATATTAAACTATTATTAAGCCGCAGAAAATTGCACACAGCGAGGAAGCGAAATAAGACAAGTAGAAAACTCACAATGAAATAAAAATTTCGTAGTGGGAATAGTAATTCCCCTTCAAGTGGGTCTTTGTCTGTTTAGAGCGGCTATCTGAACAACAACCCATTCTGGACATATGCCTCAAGTTCGAAGTGGTGTGCCACCGCGCTGGAATATTTCGGCTGCAAATACTCTGAACGTAAGTGAAATGACGCAAAGGAAGCTAGTTCCACATGCCTTGGATGAACGCCACGAATGAAAGTAAACTTTACTTCATGGATAATAACCTTGACGATACTCATACATGCAAATTTTAAATTTCGTTTTATTTTTCAGGCGATGGACTTTACACAACAATATTCAAGCATGAACATATGGAAAATGTGAACTACCTCAACCTACACGATACTATTCCAATCAATCTCCATCGTGTCAATACACCAATGTTTTCGCCACAAGGAGGTACGGTTGGAAATCACTTGGTCTCATGCAGCCTGTCAAAATATTTTCCCCTTTTAAGGAAACACTGTCCAAATATACACATAAGTACAGGAATCCTTTAGTCTAAATCAACTGAAGCATCCACGGTA